TCTTAACCGCCTAGAGTTACCCTTAAAATAGAAGGTTTTAAGACTAGAGCTCTTGTGAAACCCCCAGAGGTGATCTAGTGACTGCCCCAGAGCATATTAAAATTATGGGAACACTTCTTCAGCCTGTTAAAAGGCAGTGAAAGCATAACACCAGGAGATGCTGGACCCGATTCCCCAATCGTTGACAATGATCGATCCCTATGCCCGAACATGAAGAAGTTCGAATAGATATTAACCGTACGAAAAGCAACAAAGCAAACAAAGGGGTCCATTGGATTGACGGTCCAGCCATTCAAATAATGCATCAGCTTTGTAGAGTATGATCGGATGAAAGCATGCCCGACGATTGGAATTTAAGTGTGCGCAACAAACTGATTGGACCTTATCAGTGTGGATTTAGGCTTGGAAAATCAACAACTAACGATATTTACTATATGCGATTTCTTGGAAAAGTCCCGTGTTGAGAGGGTGACACCACCTCTACTAGCCGTTCTATACCAAACGAGGCTTCAGACAAATCGAATCTCTATCGTGCAATTTCTTCAAATAATTCGAGCTGCAGAACTAAATAAAGAAGGTACCATCTTCCATAAGGGTGTGCAGCCGCTGGCGTATGCCGATGATACTGACATCATTGGACTCAACAACCGCATCGTTCTGTGGCGCTTTCTCCAGACTAGATAAGAAAACAAAGCAAATGGGTTTGGCAGTGAACGAGGACAAGACGAAATACATCCTGCAATCAGAGGGCACAATAGACCTAAGGTCGCGGTGCATTCCTCATTTATTAATCTTACCCTGTCATTAAACAAACAATCGTGGCACTCGCGACTAGACTGCCACGTCAATGTTGAAAGTCATAACTTCAAAGCTGTAGATAATATCGCGTAACCAGCATTAACACTCTTGAAATCCAACGCAATATAACTCTTGCCAACAGGAGCTACTTTTGACTGAGTAGGCAATAGAGAAGTAAAGTCCTCTCTGGACGAACAAAAACTAAACTCTATAAGTCACTCATGATTCCCGTCCTTCTACAAGGCGCAGAAGCATGGACGATGACAACAGCTATTGCGTCGACATTACGAGTTTCGAGAGTTTCCTGGCTTCACGTGGAAACTCCAATCGCCGCCTAACAGCGAAATGGTAGAACAAATGGGGCGCTGTTGTAAACTCGGCTATATCCCGGTGTCTACACCAATAAAGAGGTAGTTAATGGTAACGGTATATTAAGGAGTCATATGAACCTGTAAGGTAGTAACGATTTTATGATCTTACTGCTTACTGCGAGAGCATTGTAGAGCCTTTTTTTAATTAAACTGGGTTTGATAAGAGGGTATGGTACAACACAAAGGTCTAATAGCATCCCTCTTTCTTAATTGGGGGATAACCTAGATTTGAATTTAATTAAGATTTCACACGAATATTTATATTTGAATTTTCAATTGCATTTTTCGTGGAGTGAGGTTTGCATAACACGTCTGCCGCCATTGCCGGAATTTGCGCGCCTTGTTCTTCTAATGCTCCTGCTTCTTCGGGTGGTCTTCTTCTTCGTGTGGCTCTTCTTCTAGTAGTTCTCCTTCAAATAGTTGATGTGTTTGATGCTGCGGCTGTAGTAGTTGTAGTATTATTCTGCGCTTGTACATATGCCAGGCAGGCCGCAATGGCAAGAAGTAATAGCCCCGACAGACGAGCAAAATTAATACACATTAAGCAACGTTAATGCGCATTGAAATTTTATGGTGACAGACGGCAGAAATGTGCGTTTAGACAGCTGCTTGTGAAATTTGTTTATTTATTAAAAAAACAGGTGAAATAAAAATGAATTAAATAAATTATTAATAGAGAATTTTTGGTATTTTTGGAAAATTAATATAACGAAAAAAATTGTTTATTATTAACTACTTGCAAAGATAATAGAGTGAAATTAAAACCAATAATGGATTGTAATGGAATTAAAAAATAGATAGCAAACTGTGTGTTGTTTATTTTCTGCCATCCAAAAATATTAAAATTTGTTCTTGTTAATATACTTGCACTTAATTTAATTAGCAATATAAAACTGCTTACCTCTGATGCTGTAAACGCAAAGAAGGCAGCAGACTTCAAGCGACATCTGTCAAAAACAGCAAAAATTGGCCATTTTTGAGCAGTGGTGCCTTCTCAAATTTGGTAAATTCAGCTAAATGCACTAAATTCTTGTGCATTCACATGGGTCAAATGCGCAAGTAAATGTAAATTAATCCGGTAATGAATATTGACGCTGTCGTCTGTCAGGGCTTAAGGCAAAGTAAAGCTCAATTTTGAAAGAAGTTAACGTCAACTTGTAAAAATGCTACTGCAGATCTTCTGGAAGTCAGGGCTTTTTATAGTGCATAGGGGACCAAATGTAAACGCGCTGACACGCACTGGTACGCATATTTGCACAGTTGCCTTGAACTAACTTTTATTGACACTAATTTGTTTACAACTGTCAATGTCAAAAACATGGTTCATGACCATATAATCTGAGCATATAATTAAGTTTACAAAAATGTATATGTGTGTAGAGTAATCAAACATTTCATCAACTGTGCAAACGCAAGACTTTCAGTGCAAAAACCCTAAATTTTGCAATTTATATTTTTAATCCTTTTGTAGTCGACATTATAATTGCTTGCGAATTTCCCTAATGCAGCATCCTCGGCTTTTGGAGCTTTAAGAGAGTGTCATTGTTCAGCAAGATATCTTAATGTTAATTAAGTTTGCCATGAAGTTTATAACACCCAGGCGGAAGAGTCCGTGACTGTGATCAAATTGAAATGTGCATTTTTCCTTTATACTTCGCGTGTTTTCGAATCATTTTTTTTTCTGTAACTTGATAGTACAGATATTCATTAGTATTTGAGATACACGTCATTTATTGAACAAAGAAGTGCTATAATGCACCATCTGGTACTGCCTACGATTTAATACTTCAGAAATGACCACTAATTCAAACCACATCTAGTAATTCTCTTGAAACTCTACAGTCAGCTGAAGCAATTCTAAACATATGAACATAAAATCAATGAACCTTACATATTATAATGACTTATATATTTGGGATGAAATAATTTAAGAACACTCATTAATACTCGAGTCATCGTTTTACTCTCCTCCTTGCCAATAGAAGGTTTTTTAACCGTAGTGAGTTGCTCAGCTACAGAAACAAGAAGCCTCCAACAGTTGAATTTTAAAATTATTTTTAAGACATGATTTTGTAGTGAATATTTATTTCTCAATTTAACTTCTCCAAACCTCGACTCATTTGATCTCGAGATACTTCCGTGCAAAGTCGGCCTTCGTGATAGCGATAGCTTCTTCATTCCACTCAATTTTTTTCAAGCGACAATATGGAGTATATACATACATACATGGTAGTAACGAGGATATGAGGCGATTCATTGTCATATTGAATAAGTTTAGGTACATATGTATAAATTGAAGTAGGTTAAATCGAAAAGTTATCTCGCACATATGAAATAAAAAACCGGGTTACATGTGTAACACATTTTTTAATATACACACAACTTAATTTATTGAGAAAATTTTTAACTTTATATAAACGTTATTTTTCTTAAAGTCAAATGTTTATTTATTTCGGAAGTTCATTAAGGTAATCGAATTCAACGGGATCGTATGTGTTGCTAAATGCAGAGCGCGGGATTGTTGTGTAATTTTTTTGGAAAAGAGGGCGTGGCCCCGCCCCCTACTAACTTTTTTGTACATATTTCGAAAACTACTA